CGACGTCCTGCAACCCAGGGTCTCGGAAGGAGCAGGTGGCAATGGAGCGCCGCTTCTGTTTCGCCTGCTCCTGCTGCCGTCGCTGCTGCTCCCGGTGCACAGCGGCCTCCCGGGCCCGGTTCTCCTACAGGAGCAGATCAGTTGCAAAGAGAGGCCCAGGGGATCACCCCCTCCAGCCCTCAGAAGGCCTCTGCGAAGCCGCTGTTCCCTTGGCAATGGAGAGACAGTGCCACAGCAAGGCAGGGGGCAGAAGGGTACCTGGACATACCTCCACGGCAGCGAGGAAACGCTCCCCAAAGGCGTGGAAGATGCCACAGCACTCGGGCAAGCTGAAAGCCTCCGGGTCTTCGCAGAGGAAGTCGGAAAGCATGGCTGCAGCCTGATGGAGGCCCTGCTGGGCAGCTTTCACCGCCCTCAGCTCCACCTCTGCCACGTGCAAGAAGGGCCCCATCTGGGCCTCCAAGCCGAGGCCCTCCAGGTCCCCTTGGGCTCGCAAGACATGCTGCTCCAAGCTCTCCAATTCCGCCGCCACCTCCTGGTCATCGATCCTGCCAAGGCCAGCAAGAGTGGCTGCGGGCATGCCTTCAGGCCTGCAGCAGCTGGAGGCCCTTGCCCGCCATACCAGCCGCCACGGAGCCCGCAGGCTGCTGAAGGCAGCAGGGTTCAGGTGGCAAGCCAGCCTCGCCCACCTCCTCCGTCCTGCAGGACGGGACTCTGTTCCACAGTGGAGAAGCCTGCCCTCCCCCCGCCCCCCCCGGTCTCCCTCTGCAGCCTTCCTTACCGTGACGCAGGCGCCATGTGCTGGAGCTTGCGGGGGAAATGCAGAAGGGTGGGGTCCTTCCTCTCGGCCTCCTGGGGGGGAGAAAAGGGTGGCCGCGTGTTCCCTGCGGCGAGGCCCAGGGGCAGCACGTGCGCCACCCACCTGGCTGGGCAAGCGCAGAGGCCCTGAGGCCTAGCCCTGCTTGGACAGCATCCTGACCACAGCCTCCTGGCAGGCCTGGGTCAAGCCTCCACCAAAGGCCATTCTTCTCGGGAGGGCTTCCCTAGCGCTCCCACAGAATCACGCTTCCTGTCATTCCGGCCCATCACCTGGCGTCACAGGCCAGGGATTTTCTAACCACAGGCAATATAAGAAATTGCCAGGACAGGACCTGCCCTTTCCAGGGAACCTTAAAAAAAAAGGCTGGGGGTGTATTTGAGTGATCCAGCCCCTGGCTCTTGGGCCACCCCACTACCCCAAGCAAAGGCATGTCAGGACCAGGTTGGCCTGTCTTCCTCCCAACCCAGCCCTGGATAGAAATCGGCGCAGAAAACCTAGAGGGTCCCTTTTCCCAGGCCCAGGAGATGTGGGACCAAGCAACGAGCAAGGCCCTCGGTGGGCTACAGAAAAGCCTTCAGCAGGGACCTTCGACACAAGGCTTAAAACTAACGACACCGACTATCCACGTGAACAGTTTGAGAAAAAGGCAACGCTGGTGTGCGGCGTCAGGGGCACGTGCAATACACGGATGTCTACGCCTGTACCTTTAAGACCGTTGGACTTGCTCTCCTTCTGATGGCAGCGCTTTTAACCGCATCCACGGGAGAAGGGAGAAGCAGCGGCGGAGGCCGCCACCTGGAACCTGCCTTTCTGCCCGGCCGGGCAGAGTGGCGTCCAGTTCTCCTGTTCTGCCCTGCTGCCGGAGGAGCTCGAAGGCAGGGGCTTTGGAAGGACGAGGGGTTTAGATAAAGGGGCTTGGACAACTCCCTAGGTTGAGTGCCCAGTGGGTAGAAAGCACAGCTGGGCGCAAACCTGAAGCAAGCGCGATGGGGGCTGGGAAGTTGTAGTCCTGCGGAGCCTGTCTCCCCCCTCTGCATGGCCAACCCCTTCCTTTGCCCCTCTCTGCCCGCCCCAGCTGCTGTCACTGAGGTCCCGCCTATTCCCACTCTCCTCTCCCCAGGACGCAGGTCCAGGTCAAGGCCCAGACCAAACCTGCACATTTCAGGTTGGACACGGACCGCCCAAAGGAGCCGTCTGTGCCCCGTACGCCTTGCGGGCAGTTGTAGCAAGCCCTGTGCCATCTTCTGCCCTGCACCCTACACCCAGTGGACCCAGGAAGTTGCACAGCCAGGCAGAGCTGCTCTGCCCCCTTGAAGCTTTCCAGGTCTGACGAGACCTCAGTCCTGTCCTTGCTGGGGGACAAGGAGCCAACCAGAGCGAGGAACTTTCTTCTGGGGAGAAAAACCAGGAAGACGTGGCAGGCCAGGCAGAGCCTCCCTCAGAGAAGGCCCACGCGTTCCACGAGGAAATTGCAAAGGGGGACGTTTTCTGGGACAGAGGAAATGGATCTGGCACAAAGACACGCTCCGACTGAATGCTGGAGGAAAGCTCTAAGAGTGCCAGCCGGTCGACCGCCAAACCAGCGGCTCCCCTTCGCGGGATGTGCCTGAGCAGAGGCTGACAGCCCCTCTCAGGGAACTTGGAACTGGATTCCTGCGCTGATCAGGGAGTCCGCCCCATAGCCCGAGACCCCCTTCAGCTGGGGGACTGCCAGGCTGGGGGGATTGAATGCAGAGGCCAGAAGCTGCCAGGTGGGGCGTCCCAGGCGATACCAAGGCCAGGGACAGCCTGGACTCCCCAGGACGCCTCTTTGCTGAGGGAGACCCCCAGTGCAGGCCAGCTCTCCTACTTACGTCTGGCTGCAGGACACTCGAGGGGCTCAGCAAACTCTGGACCCCGGTGACACAGACACGGGCTCTGGGGGCTGGCTGGGCCAGTTGCAGGAGCCAAAGTTTCTTCTTCGTCTTCAGCAGGCCCACATCCCTCCCAGGCTGCAAGGGCTGAGTGTATGCCCCCCGAAAGACACCCTCCTGTGGGAGCTTGTCAAGGCAGCCCTGTGCCACGTGTTTTCCTCTCCCACCCTTCGTGGTTTTCCACTGTGTCCCAATACTTCTCTATTTCAGATTATATTTCCATGCTAAGGCCCCCTCCCTTCCCCCAGCCCAAGAGGCTCACCAAGGCCATAAAATGCAGGAGATCCATGCCAGGCTGGTTGCCCTTCGTGTCTGCCAACCTCAGCAAGGATGACACGTGGAAGCCGAATGCAGAGCCAGCGTAGCCTCCCTGCAGGGAGGAGGGGGAAGAGAGTGTCCGCACCAAGAGAACCCACGCTCCCGCGTGGGCCCCACTTACAAGCCGCCCCCTCTGTCCGCCCGAGACTCACGTGGCTGGCCAGGGGCAGCCACATCCTTCGGAGTGGGGGAGGCAGGCTCTTGGTAGAGCAGAATGGGCTGTTTGTACAGGAGCAGGCATCCCGCCCGAGTCCAGCGCACCCTCAGGTGAAGGGGCAACCAAACCCTTAAGAGCTGTTGCCACAGGGCCCTTGGCTGCGGAGGAGCTCCGAGATGCCCTTTTCCCAGGCAGCCCCCAACCCCTGTGGAGGTACCTCATTCATGTAGTTCCCCGTCTTCAGTACCAGCCGGATGAGGTCATGCAGCTCTTCACAGCCCAGCAACTCTGGGGGAAAGGAGGACAAGGCTGAACGACAAGGCGGTGGCTGGACCTTGTTGGCATCGGACTCCTGGAGGACCAACCGCACCCCCAACTATTTCCCAAGGAAGCTGTGCCCTCTGTGGCGAACCAGCCAGACCTTCTCCTCTGCCAAGATGATGACCCCCAGCTCGGCCCCACAGGACACATGGCCCCTCCCAACTGTACCTCCCGGTCAAGGATGGGGAAAGGGAAAGAGAGCAAGTGCCTCATCGCTGCCCCCTGCTCCCCCCCTACCTAATGCCGCCTCTGTCAGGATCTGGATGGCCGACTGCAGGGCACCAAGCTGGGGGAACAGCTGCAGCTTCAGCACCAGGAGCTCCAGGCGACGGGAATAGCTGGAAGGCAAGGAGAGGGGCAGGTGGGATGGCCCGTCCTCTGCCTAGCAGCACCCCATGGAGCCGCATGCCCCCACAACTGGACCGGCCCCTCACCTGGGCACTTGGACGAGGAGCAGAGCAAAGACCTCAGCCTCCGAGAGGCGACTCCGGTCACCCTGGAAGGCCTCCAGCTTCTCGACCTTTCCACGAGAAACGGCAACCCGTGAACGTGGCGAGGCGCGCAAGAGCCCCTCTGCCCTCACCCGGCAGCCCCACAATCACCTCCTTCACGTCGGGAAGCATCTTGAAGAGCTCCAGCAGCTTCTCTGGCCCGTAAAGGACGCCTGCTCCATTACGGATATCCGCCACGATATCTTGCACTGGCCTAAGAAGGGGGGACGGCTTCCTCAACTGGCATGGGCCTCAGAGCTTGCCCCACACCCAAACTTGGGGGCCCTCCCCCACCTCACCTCTTAAACTGTTTGAGGAAGATCCCCAGATTCAGGATTTTCTTGGCATCCAAAAGGGAGGCCTAAAAGGAGGGAGAGACCCACAAGAGTAACGCTTTACAAACAGTTGTTAGACGAGGTGAGGGAAGAGAATAAGGAACCGGAGCATCCAATACTTTCTTGTCATCTGAAAAGTTTGGTGGCACGGCCCCTCTGCCACCATCTGGCAGCGATTTCCTGACTTCTGTCTCTCCTGTTGCTCTGCAGACACCCTTCCTCCCTGGCACCCTTGTTGTGGGCAAGAGCAGCCCCGGGCCCTGCCCAGCTTTCACTCTCGGAAGTCAGAGGAGCACTGAATCCTAGCGCTGGGAGGGGCCCCTGAGAACCCAGAGCAAAGGCTGCCCGGCCTCTGAATCCAGGAAGGGAGGACCCCTGCCTCTCTGGGTCCCTGGCTTCTCCACCCAGCCGCCATTACTCTGGTTGATCCTCAGCTGGAATCTGTCTCCCGGCAATCAGCCTCCTGTAGCTTCATCCTTCTAATTTATTGATCAAATTTCTAGGCTGCCCATCTCCAGCAACTTGGTGGCTTAACATATACAAGCAATAAAACCCCAAAGAGGGTGCCGTCCAGAGGACAGCCACCAACTTTCTCCCCCACCCGAAGAGGCAAGAGACACGCCAACCCACACCCTTGTTAAAAGCAGCCCACAGCAGGGACTGAGAGTGCCATCTCATGTCTGCTGGTCTTTATTATTTATTTATTGACATTTATTGGCTGCCCAACTCCAGTTTGTCCTCTAAGGCTTCACATTTTGCTGGGGAGGCATTTTGTTGTGTCCCCCCACCCCCGTCCAGCCTTGCAACCTGGCCAGATTAAGCTGGAACCTCCTTCTGTCCTCCTGAGTGCTGGCCAGAGCTCCCAATTTTGTGTCATTCGCACATCTGATAAAAAAGACTATCAGTTTGTTACCCAGGTCAATAAATAAAAATGGTGAGTAACCCCGACCCCAAGACATCCCCATGGGACCCCAGGGGTTCCTGCTCTCCAACGCGATATAAAGTCACTAAGCTCTTTCCACCCAGAAGCATGCAGCTTTCTGAACAACACAGCTACTAGGCGCTACTGTACTTCCCTGTTTTCCTTGGAAGCAAGCGACTGCTGCAGGAAAACTATGTGCTGGTTTCAAGCCCTGCCCTCAGCCTGGTTCCCGAATTAGCATGACTACACAGGCCACGAGAGGACCACACCAAGCGTGTTGTGTGAATGCAGCCACAAGGTCTTTGGACAATCAAGTCTCCTCAAGGCTCGATGACAAAAGATGCCCCCCCAGCCGCATCAACTCTTCAGTGGGATTCGAAACAAGCATTTTCCGGCGTTACGCTGGGCAGCTCTTGAGCAAACAGGCGTTAAAAAATTATCCAGGGAGCAAGTCCTCAATTAACACTCCACAGCAGGCAGGAAGCTGAAGACTTGATTCCCCTAAGCCCTGAAAGCTTTGGGTGAGCCTCAATGGCTCAGGGCGCTCTACCTGCAAAACTGTTCTGAGAATAAAGGGAAGAGAGCAAATCCTGTTCAAGCCATCTTGAACTGCCTAAAGAAAGACCACAATTAAAGGGCAGAAGGAAAAGGGAGAAGAGCCTCCCCCGAAGCGCCCGGAAGGACAAGGCCGCACCAGGGACACCTCAGCTACCTGGTGACGCCAACCAAGGGAGGCCAGGGACCCTGGCTGCTCGTCGTGCAACATGCTGAACTAGGGAAAATTTCCTAGTAACGTTCGAACATTTTTTTAGCGTTGAATCACTTCTGTTTTTTTCGGGGCGGGGTGGGGGGGAGCGTGAGCCTGTTGCGCGAACCAGGCCCGTTGGATGCTTAAAGAACTCAAATCCAGAAACACGGTGGCTTCGACAACCAGATTAAGCTGTCGTGCGAAGGTCGCCCTTGAATTCGCCCTCCAAAGACCCGCGAAAAACGAGGGAGCTCGCGCCGCTCAACCTTCCCCCCCCTTCCCCCGACGTTGCGCCTTCGCTGAGCGGCCGGCCCGCGCGAGTCCCGGGCTCGCTCTGCCTTGCGCCCCGTGACGGCCGCTCGGTGAGCCCGGGCAGGAAACGGCCGTCGGAAGGGAGAGCTG